CTCCTTTTTGTGCATCTATTTCATAGTCATCATAATAATTATGTTACATAATAACTCATATTATCAATCAACAATTATATATCCTAATATCCTTATTAAACAATCATTTGACTATAATTTAACTAATTCATGCTTAAGCGAGATAACTATAATTTAGTTAATTTATAACAAATCGTAAAATCATACCAAATCTATCTTAATATAATATTCTAAAAATATTATCAAAACCAAAATATATATATATTCTATTATTATATTGTTTTATCTAACCATTGATAAAAAAGATCCCAAACTTCATAGAATTGTTTATCTTCTTGTTCTCTAATTTCAAATGTCAATCTACTCATTTCAGCACATTCCAGTATTTTCTTAATAATTTCTTCCTCTAATGGTATTTTCTCACTCTTCCAATTTCTAGCAAATACAATCCTAGCTGCTGTTAACACATTTACAATCAAATACTTTAAGTTTTTATTAAATGTATCAGGTAAGATTCCCAATAGAAAAATCTCTGGTTTCAAATCTATATGTTTTTTTGTCATTTCTTCCAACCATATGCGAATTCTAGTCCAGTATTTCCTGGCCTCCTCACAAGTCCACCACATATGGTAATATGAGCCAGGGATCTGATGACATTTCCAACACTTTTCGGATTTATTCTTGAACATTCTTGCTATTCTTGTCGGGGGAAAATGCCACCTGTAAAACATCTTATACAAATTTTCTTTATATGCTACTGACATTGTCATTTTATAATTTTGAGACCACAATTTTTGCCATTTCTAAATCAATCCCATATCCAAAGTTCTTCCCCCAAACAATCATTGTTTCTTTGACTTGTTCTTCCTCTAATTTAATTTCCAACAAATAACTATATAGTTTTTTAATCACTTTTTCATCAGCACCTGTCAAAATCCCATCTAAATCAGTCAATTTATCATAAAATCCTTCTGTTTTAGAATCTTTAAAATACCTTGAGTGTATTTGCGCATATGAAAACCAATTCATCTTTATATCTTGTTCTTCTAGCTTTTGCATCGTTTTAAGTTCACCCTTTTCATCCAGTATTTCCCCATATCTAACTGTTTGTTCCTTCTTATAAATTATGGGATAGGAAAAAGCTTCAATAGTTGATAACCAAACTGGAATTTTCAAATAACATTGTTTCTTAATTTTCTCCCAATTCAACCATAACGATTCCCGTATATAGTGCCTTCTGATATAACCCTGCGATTTAGTTCCCTTATACCATAAAAAAGCATGCCAACCCAATAATAAATCATGTCCTTCCAATGCCAGTAATCTAGACTTTCTTAACGTTATCCATTCTTTAACCCACATTAAATTTGCAGCTTGATAATACAACTCCCAATTAGGAAGGCCAAATCCTCCTCTAATTCTAGCATCCTGTAAAAGTTTTAGTTTTATTCTCGCTTTCTTACCTTGCCATATATACTTCAACACCATTTTATTTAATTCATCAAAATAGTCTTTACCAAGCCTAATTGGTATTGTTTGAAACAAATATAAAATTCTGGGTAAAATATTCATTTTAATTGTTGAGATTCTACCTATCAAAGATAATTGTAGATTTTCCCATTTTTTCAAGTCAGATGCTATCTACTGTTTAAGTTTAATATAATTATTCTCTTTCAGTGTAGTACATCTTGACGTCAAAATTATCCCCAAGTATTTAACTTTATTCGTAACTTGAATTTTCAATAAGTCTGCCAACTCTTCTCTTTGCCTTAATAACATATTTTTTGTCAGAATCTTTGTTTTGTCTTTATTTATTTTCAAGCCAGCCATCTCACCATACGTCTCTATCTTTTCCAGTAGTTTTAAAGCTGTCTCTAGAGGGTCTTCCAGAATAAAGACCAAATCGTCCGCAAAGGCTTGCAATTTAAATTCCTCCTTTTTAACTTTCATTCCTTTTATATTTGTATCCTCTCTAATATTTCTATTTAATACTTCCAAAGTCAATACAAATAACAAAGGGGATAGTGGACATCCTTGTCTTGTGCCTTTTTTAATATTGATAGTGTCTGTAAATTCTCCATCTATCATCACTTTTGCTGTTTGCTTATGATATATAGCTTCTATTGCTTGAATAAATTTTCTAGCAAAACCCATCTGTTCCAATAATAATAACATAAATCTCCAATTCACGTTATCAAATGCCTTTTGAGCATCTAAAAATATCAAAGCCATTTGCTTTTCAGGGTGTGCCTCATAATATTCCAAAGTGTCCAAAATTACTCTCATGTTGTCTTTAATTTGTCTGTTTGGTAGAAATCCATTCTGATCAGAATGAATAAAATTATTTAAGTATTTTTTAAGCCTTTCTGCCAAAATTGAAGCAAATATTTTATAATCTGCATTCAATAAAGAAATAGGTCTATAATTCTTAATTTGTAATGGGTCAGTCCCTTCTTTTGGAATAAGCGTAATATAAGCTTCTGACCATGTTTTAGGTATCTTCTTATTTATCATAACTTCATTCATAATTTCTAACAATGAAATACTCAATGATTCTTGTAATGTTTTATAAAATTCTGCCGGGAAACCATCTGGTCCTGGTGCTTTCCCGTTATTCTGTCTATTAAGTGCTTCAGTTAATTCCATCATTGTTATAGGATTTTCCAACATTTTCCCAGTTTCATCAGATATCTTGGGTAGGTTGGCATTTTGTAAATACTGTTTAATTTTCCCCTCATCAAAATCCTCCTGCTTATATAATTGTGCATAAAAATCTCGAATAATTCTCTTTTTCTCCTTATTACCATGACAGACTAGACCCTGTTCATCCATTAACTGTAGTATTCTCCTTGATTCTTTCTCTTTTCTCAGTTTGTATGCTAACCATCTACCTGGCCTGTTTGCATCCTCAAAATAGTTCTGTTTAGCACTTCTAATTTTTTGCGCCAATTCTTCTTTCTCTGTTTGATCCATTTTATGTTTAATTATGTCCATTTTAAATTTAATATCTTTTTTCTGTGGCATTCTCTGTAATTCTTTTTCCAATTTTTTATAATCATCTTCTAAAGTTTTAATCATTTGCCTCTTTCTAATATTTTTTTTCTTTGTGTATTCCATTATCAATCCTCTTGCATATGCCTTCATTGTGTCCCAAACATTCTGTATTGAAGTATCTTCTTTTCTGTTTTCATTAAAAAAGAAGGCCAGTTCTTTTTCCATCCACTGTGTAAAATCTTTTTCCTTTAAAATAGTATTATTTAATGTCCATCTAGATCTTCTTTTTTGTCCTTTCCATTTAATTGTCATTGGGTTATGATCTGCCCATGTACTTGTTTCAATATTTATTTCTTGAATATTAGATAATAATTCTGTTGACGTCCACATCATATCTATTCTGGACCATGATGAATGTCTATTCGAGTAGAAAGTATATTGTTGAGTTTTAGTATTTCTTTCTCTCCATATATCTTTTAGTTTTAGTTCCTCTATCATTTCAAAAAAGGATTTAGGGAGGATCTTCCTATTTTGTCGTGTTATTTTTGCTGTGTAGTCCAATTCATTGTCTACAATTCCATTAAAATCTCCCATTATAAATATATTAGCGTAGTCCAATTCAATTATTTTCATATGTAATTTTTTATAAAATCTTTTTTGTTTATCATTCGGAGCATAGATTGCAACCAAAAGTATCTTTGTATTGTTATCCACTATTTCAACCATTAGTACTCTTCCATCTTCATCAGTATAAATCAATTTTGCTGAAATGGTTTCTTTAATATACAATACCACTCCTCTTTTCTTACACTGGGCCAAAGAAGTAAAAATTTTCCCTATTTTTGGTCGCACCAATAATTGTTGATGTTGTTTTTTAATGTGTACTTCTTGTAAGCAAATTATATCAAATTTTAATTTCTCTATTTTATGAAAAGTTTTCCTTCTTTTAGTAGCTGAATTCAGTCCATTTATATTCAAAGAAATCAATTTTTTTTCCTCCATAGTTATGATTTATATTTAGGTCTAACGGCTCTCGTTGATCTTACTTCACGTTGTTCTTTAGTCTCCACTTGTCCACCTACTGCACCTTCTTCTTTTCCCATCTCTATTTGGTCCTCTTGAAATTCAGTTAAGGTAGTCTCTTCTTCTATCTCTGTTTCTCTTCTTTTAAAAAATTCCTTATAAAACGATTCTGCTTCATCAATTGAGCCAATTCTGTATCTCTGTTCTTTCCATGTAACCATTAATCCTTCTGGAATCAACCATCTGTAATTCACCTCCTTTTCCAATAATACTTTAGTCAGGAAACGATATTCTCTCCTCATCTCTCTAATTTTTCTGGGTACTTGTTTTAAAACCCCAATCTCTTTATCTCCATATTTCAATGTCTTCTCTCTTGCCGCTTGTAATATCTGTGTTCTGATAGATTTTTTAGTAAATCTAACATGAACTTCTCTTGGTAACTTATTCCTCGATGCATATCTTGTAAAAACTCGGTATATCTCATCTATTCCATCCATCATTTTTTCCTCTGTTATTTCCAAAGCTCCAGCCAAGATTTCTATCATTACTGCAGCAAGATCTTGTCCTTTTTCTTCCTCT